TGTTCTCAGTGCAGTGAATTGCCCATATTAACGCTGCCTATTAGCTTTCCAGAGATACAAGAATTAAACATCTGCATATGGAAAATGAGCACCATAAATCGACTTCGACATCTACATTGTAGAGAGTAAGCAGCGTGAAAAACGAACCGTGAAATGTACCAACAAAGCTCTTAGCCCACTCGTGAAAACCTATTATGAGCATTGAAGCAGCCAGCTAAAAACGCAATGACGATCATCGGTTGTCAGATTCTTTTATATCTTTATGGTGAACTTATCTAAAAATGCTACACTTGTTGCAAAACCGGGATTAAAGCATTGATAACCTGTCAGAAGTAATCATAAAATGGTATCGGACATATTTTCATCATTTCGCCAACCTTCTGAGCACAAAATGTCACTTGTCAATCATGTGATAAAGGGTATGAACGCAAATGTACGAGCATTATATCTCTTCCAGCATCTAACCTCCCAAACAGGTCCCAGAAACTTGCTCCATGAATGTGGCTAAGGTATCTTAACAAATAATGACAAGTTCCTAAAAGTTCTAGAGTTTAACAACTAGCACTAACTATCAATTGAGAATCGCACAGACAGCCAGCGCTCCTGCAATCAAATGAATCAAATTAGATACTAAAACCCAGACACGACGAGAAAACTACTCAGCACAATTTAGATACCATGCATTAACTGCGAGGTTGCATCGATGCATAAGGTGATGCCAATATTTTTCTTTCACTGCTGTGGCTGAACAAGTAAACACGCCATTAATATACATATGAACATATTAATTAAAGGTCCACACAATAAACGATTTGTAACTGGAAGCAAGAATGAAGCTGAGGAAAATAATGAACAGCCAAGCACTAACGTTATGACTACAACAAAAGAACGCCCTCGATGCATTATTATTTGAATTTCTCTTATTTCAATGGGAAGAGTTAATTAAAAAGACCGGACAATACAGCTTTCAGAGAATTCTGCGACAACACCAAGAAATGTTGAAAAACAAGTGTAGATTTGTAATTCCATTAAACTAAATCAGGCAACAAAAGACGACCTTCTGCTAAAAGTTCAGGCAGTGAAAAAAGCGTGGTCGTAATGACCTTCACATGTTGACAGTGTTTCTCGCGCAGTCATATTTTCTGACCACATACCATCTCTGTTCGTAGGCGGCTTTGCTTCCACAGGGTTGCCTTACGCATAGCAAATGTAATGAAACTTAGTGTTACGCGGCATCCATGCTGAAAGGAAATGACTGGCGGCAAGGAATACTCTTACAGTGACGCTGATTGGAGACAAATGGCCGATGGCAGAGTTCAGCGAATCAATCCATTGTGAAAGATGGCCTGTCAGATCTTCTTAATGCAGCAACCCGACTTACTGCAGTCAGTGTTTAACGCCTCGTGACAGGGAAAGGGTAATCCATGTTTGGGACGATTCCATTCGCATTTGCCCTCTTTGCACTCGGAGCAACTCTGCCAGGCGAGCATCTGAGAGACATGCTGATACCGGAAGAAAATTTACCGGCAGATTGCAAGCACCTCACTTACGCGCAATGCACCATATACCTGATGATCAAAGGACGAGTGAAGAAATTCCACATTGCAAATGCGGGTATGTCATATTGATGTTATGAGAACGTAAAAATGCTTATTTATATCTAAGTTAACCCTCGATACAAAACTAAACTGATCGTTTAACCTCAGCGTAGAACGACTGAGTCTTAACGGTGTCATAGAATATAAAGGTTAAAGCTATGTAATACAATTTTCACAAAGCGACTTGATCGAACCAACATTCCATTTCATTGTAACAAAACCCATTGTTGCATATTAACTTACACGGGGACTCTGCAGAAAATGATAAACCTGAAATATTTTAATTCAAAAGACCTGTTATGTTAAACGCTCATCATTAGCCTCGCTGCATAACAACGTGATGAGGCTGTATTTTACATTGGTGAGGCAGCAAAACCTTCTCATTGCTGACGGTTCTCTTGGTCACTATGTGAGTAAATAATTTCTGTCGCAATGGCTGTATTATAAAAATTTTCATAAATCTTTGACCCTATCACAATTTAAAACTTGCACCTAATAAAGTGAAGAACATTAACTTATGGATATATTGAGCGAATAACACAAAACTGACTTATTCCAGGGTATGAGTTGGATCCGCTGCAACAAATGCTGAATGATATATCAGTTGGAGAATCTGAAAGTAAGCTAACAAATTTTGTTATTTAACGCTAATTTCGTTTTTTTGAAGGCGGTGTAAGACGAATCAGCAGAGGTAAATTAAAATCTATAAACAAAAATAACTACGCAATATGATTTGTTCGTCTTAAACAGATGATCATCCGGGCGTGGAAACGCGACAGAGCTACCATCTTCGCTTTGGATAACTTCAATTGGAAAGTGATGTTTATATTTTTTTGTTATGAAGTGATTACGCTTGAGAATCTATTAAGATATTTATTACTTAACAATGAATCTGGTCCAAAATTGTGCTGTTTGTAAACGAAACTTAGCACATTGACAGAATTGAGATTTTGTCAGGTGAAACAACACACTTACTATGACATAGACTGGGATGCAGCGTTTATTCGAAATGTAGCATAGATAAAATTATTTTTGACTGATCCTGAATTATAGCTTCAATTTCGAAACACTGGTAATGCATTCTTATTTTTAATTAATTACTGAATCTCACAGTTGCATTTATGCATTAAGGACAAACTTAATTCAGCATCACCTGCATGCAGGTTACCAGAACACACGCATATCATGTGGCGTCAAACAAGGAAGTGAATCTTTTGCTCATGCTTACTTGCTCCATTAAGAAATTTGAAGTTTGCTTCTAATTAGGCTAACTAAATTTTTTTGGAAACCTACAGCCACAGCGATGTGCCTCTTGGTTCTGAAGGTAAACGTTTATTTGGAAGCGTAATTCAAATTCATATTCTATAAAGTTTCAAAAACGGAAATGAAACCAATGCTGAAAGGTTTTGCTTTTATACCGCGGAAAGCCTTTATGGTCAATTTCGCTTCACAGTGCAAGAGCAGTCAGATATCGTTATTCATACTTGTACTGTTCGAAACAATGAACCAGTGTGCCATTATGTATGAAAAGAACCTGCTTAAATACCACAGCGCCTCTCCTGACGCCTATTAATGCTGCGAAGTCAGCCATTTTCCTAAGCACACGTGCAACTATTGTTCTTATTACTAATAAGGATTTACCTGAATAAAATCATGGGTGGCATCGCTTAAAATCGACAAAACAACAACTATTTTTGAGAGCATTCAATCAATGCAAGTGATTCCATGACTAAGAGGATCCATCGAACGACCAGACTATTTTAACACAAAACACCCTCATTGGAGGAAATTGTGGACAAAGACCTGGTTCAAACTACCAGCAGAAAGATAAGACTGAAATGTAACACATGCAAGTAGATCAGGTACCAACACTGGAAACTTCACGGCTTGTTTCAGAACCGCACTGAAATTAGAATCGGTTGCAAAAAACTCGTGGAGACAAGTAGCCCAAAAACTAGTTATACCAAGAAAGACTTTAATTATGATTCTATAAAATGCACTGTGTCCGAATAAATGACACTTTCAATTAACATATTACAAACTGAATTTAAAAGAAGTCCACTCTGCACTCGTTGGAGCCATCCGAGAAAACGTTAACATATCCGCAGCGAGCAAGGTGGTTGATGCTTGTGTAAGGTGGTTTGCCTCCGGCAGTGCCAGTACAATCCGTCTCGTACACATTATTCTCCCAGTAAACAATTCCGTTGCTGTCCAGCACGTTTTTCACTTCAAACCAACCGTCGAGTGTCTTTGAGCAATCCATCTGCATTTCCACCAACCAATAATGTGAACCGTATTTGTTCAATGGCTGATAGCCAGTGGCCTTTTTGTCATTCGTCGACCAAACTAGAGGAGTGCCTTGAGCCTTCAGATTATTGTATGTTCCTAGAAACGAAAGCAGAACTCACCGAACAATCGCACATTAAATTTTCGAACGAGTCAAAATTGAAAACTATATATAGTTTAGTATATAAACACTTATCAACGATACAGATATGCAATCACTTTAATGAGCAGCGTAAAAGTGTATATATCCGGCCAATTAAATTACAAACCATGTTTGCGCTGGTGACCATAAATTATTATGAGAAAGACTGAGTGATGTGGCAATAAAAAGCAAGTACACTATATATCTCATGCACCAAAAAATGTCCAGATAAACTGAATATAAATGGTAACGACTGGTCAACTTCAAATCATAAATAATGATTGAGCGGAAAATAATTGTAGCACTCAGACTTCAGGTGTTAGTACGTACTAATCCACTCGCATGCAGATCTTCGCAAAAAATGTCAGCGCTTGGTACCGCTCTGTTACAACCTTTATAAACTTTACATATTTCAGTTTAGTTGCAAAGTCTGTTTTCAGTATTTCATTGAATTATTACGTATGCAGTCAGTATCTGATTTGGGTACTTAAACAAATCTTATCTAAGTGAATTAATAATAGAAAATGAATGGAAACATGAAAGTTTCAGATAAATCAATCATTCAAATCAGAACGGCGTACCTTGTCCATTCTCTGGTCCATACCAATTAAGGTAGTTGTTTCCCTTGCTCCATTCAATATAAGATGTGAACTCGGATGTTACATTAGTCGTTAACTTAATGGGAATCGAACAAGGATCATCAATGACATGGTCACGGCAGCCTTAAAAATGAGATTACGATTGAGTCAGAATCAGATTAGAGTGACAAGATCAAACCTGGTATTCGGTTATGATCGATACCACCTCGAATGAACATGTTTTGTCCGACGACTGACTTCTTATGAATCAAGATCGCGGTTCTTTGGAAATTAGGGGATTTGGACTTGGTCACCCGGGATTTTTCGTGAATGGCAACTGTGCTACCAGACATGACGTAGATATCAGCCATTCCACTGTTGTCGAC